CAATGTTTTATAAAAAGGCCCTGTTTAGTTCCTGTTCTGGGCATTTAAAAGAAGGGGCCGAACCCGGGGGGGGGCCCAGGATGGGCCCCCCCCCCCCCCCTTATTTTTAGACCAAACTTAGACCTGAAGGGCCCAAAAAAATTTGGGGGGGACCAGGCTTCCCCCGTTATGCTCCCCTCTTGTCTAAGGGTCTGGTTGACTGCCCCCCGCCCCCACCCCTTTATCTTAAGGTCTGGATCCGGCACTGAAGATGGACTTCTGTTTCGGATCATCCATATTAAAGTAGGACTCCTGGTTAGAGATTCTGAATGAGGTCTGAAATGAAGTATTTATACCATACTCAGACAAAATTATTTCTTCAGAAATGTTCAAGAGCGGCACATACAACAAATGTAGTTTGCCTTGTCATCAATGTAATCACAGGCCTCATGCACCCAGCATTGACACTTTTCACACTCTATCCAATCGAATGTGTCCTTATCTTCACCAGGCGGGTTTTCCTTGAAACAAAATGCACACACTTGGACTTCCATGTCCTCCAATTCCTTTGCGGTGGCATCTGACAAATTACCCCTCTCATGATGAACTTTCCTTTTTTTCTTTGTAGAAAAGAAGCGCTTTTGCTTCTCATACAGTTTATTAGGTGGAAACAACTGTGTTTTCAGGTACTGATGGTCAGATCCAATGACAGACAATCCCTTAGCCACTGATATTGCAGATCGAATGTGCTTCAATGCTGTATTTATGGTGTCTTTTGTTGGGGCACTCTGAATCAATTCACTCAATTCAGCAATCTGATTAAGTGCATATGTTTTGAGGTCAGCCAGCTGTTTGCTTTCCTGGAGTTGTTTGTCCTGTTGAATAATATTAGACAACTCCTCGCGTTTCTTCTCTATGTCACTGTCACTGGTGGTCTCCAGCTCTGTACCAGGAAATTCTAAATCAGTAGCGATGGTTTTTGGGTAGAGGATGTTTACAGAGTGGATATGGGAGCACAACACACCCCTTATAGAATAATCAGCACAAGAACATTCGAAGGTATGTACGCAAGCATCACAGGAAGGGCAATTCAACAGGCACGAGCAACCTGAACTTATTCTTGTCACATGATAAACAGTTTGTTTATTAGAGGCCGACTGAACATTCCAGAAGTTCTCATCCTGCTTGTGAACCGCTTCCTTCACTGATTCCCCTTGTTTGTGCCGCTTGATACTTTCACGTTGTCTAACGGTATTTTTGCCCTTCTCAGCTTTAATGACCTGCTCAAAGGCCTTATCTCGAGATATTTTCCGTAGCTTAAATATCAGGTGATCAACGCGACGGTTTTGTTTCTTTTCTAGGTAAACTTCCTTGAGCGTTCTATGGAAGCGCTCAACGAACATGTTGGTGTTTGCCCGTGATCCTACCCGAAAACAAGCTGCCCATTCCCTTGTTCTTCCTACGTATTCTTTCTCGAAATACTTAGCCAATGGCTCTGATTTGCCCTTGATCCACGCCATGAAGTGCTGCAAGGAACGCCTGAAGCTTGTTTCGGATAACTCATTCTGTAAAGACTTCAGTGCGGCATATACCTCGGCCATTTGTTCCTTGTCTTTCAAATGTTCGTTCAGTTTTCGTCGCCAGCTGGGGTCGACGTGCCAGTTACATAACAGTTTCCGGTCCGGCCTCGAAAATGTAGAAACCCAGGCGTTGTAGTAAGCGTCTGCGTCATCACTCATAAACGTTTCTGTCTGTACTTCGCCACAGCGTTCTCTTAAACTTGAAAAAAAAAAATCTTCAAAGCATCCGTCGTTTCTTTGTTACTAATGAGCCACGCTACGGGTACACCTTCGTTGTAGTCATCTATAACAAGAACTGTGACTAGCTGGAAGTCATATGCCGTCGTACCGTGGGTGGCGTCAAATCATATTATTTATGAGCATGTTTTTCAAACATTTCTTTTTGGAACTGCGTTTGCAATGCCAGTAGGAAATCTTTTTCTTCCACACCATTGAAATCGGTGGTTTGAAGAACAAAACTGGATTGAATTTCTCGGATTGCATCTCTTGTACCCAGTAGAGAACACTGTCAGCGTCATCACTAGCTTTCTGCATACAGTTTATATTATACTGTTGCTTGATATTGTGTAGGTCTGCTCGGGTTATTAAGTGATCCCTATTAAGCGACCCACACATACTGTCCCGTATGTAGTCCATTACAGAGGTCATGCTTACACCTTGAGAAAGCTTAGCTGCAATGGTGGTGCGAATTTCCTTCGACATTCTGTTGAAGGCGTTCTCCTGTCTGTGCCCAACGTGTTTCAAACAGAACTCAGCTTGTACCTCTCCTGTTGCGTGATACCCTCTTGTTGTGATAAAGGCAGGGCATGAGCATCCAGTCTTGCAAGATCCTTGTGATTTCATTGCTCTCTTTCCGGTGATTTTGGAGACAAACGTGCCAGTTCTATTGCATCGCAACCATGATTTTGTGTACTCCTTGGTCTTTCTGTCAGCACGGTGTTTCACATACCAACTCTTTGTCATCCGTTCTTCTTCATTCTTCCATTTCTCGAATTCTGTCATGTCTTTGAACGTCATGCTTTCGATCTTCAAGTCGTGACCGTGGTGATTATTAAGGTGGTGTATTAAATCGCCGGTTGTAGCAAAAGCTGATCTGGAGAGAAAAGGAAAATAAAATCATCAGAACTCTTAACCACAAGTTATGTGGAACATAACAATTACAAAAATAGTTGAAAACATAAGGGCCTACAATGGACTAGAGTACATATATAACCTATAATGGCATTGATTATTCATATTGTTTGTAACTTCGTCTGCCGTTGCAAGCATTTTGTCTTTGTTGCACTGGATAATAGAGTAGAGAAAAGCGCCAAAGCCTGAATAGACAAACCTTCGAACGTAAAAGAAAAAATAAAACAAAAGTTGTTGGTAGTGCCATCGTTGCAAGAGTTATTCAGCTTGAGTTATGAAGGACGACTTTAAAGGCTTTTACTCTCATTACCAAAGTTTTAAAAAGTGGTGAAAAGCAGTGCTTACTTTGATAATTTTTTCTTCTTATGCCAATCGATTTGGACTGTTGCGTTGGTCGTAAACTATTTACCGTGCTTCATTATAACTCAGCCTTGCATTTCAAGTCTCCCTGAAGGCGATAATGCTATTTTGTGGTTTTGTCATGACTTTTTTTAATATTAGTCCCGAAAGATGGAATGAGCTGGTTCATCTCACCTTTTTTGTTTTCCTTTGCACTCTGGACAATCGACATGTTTATTTCCTGCATCTTTTCCTCCATCTTCATCAACTCTGTTGGTCGGCTTGTGTTTTCTTTTTTTATGTTTATATAAGCAGTTTCTACTGCTTAAGTTCATTCCGCAATGTTCGCACTGGAATCTGGTCATACCTTCACAGTTGGGAGGAGGTACTGAATCAGCTGAATCAGCGTTAGAGGAATCAGAGGCAATTGTCCCTTGAGAAGTTGGTTGTGTTGATGCTGGAGCCGGAGCCGGAGGCCCGGTACTGGGAGATGGCTCGGAATGGGAGACGCTCTTCTCAGAAGGGTTAGCTTGTGGACAAGCTTGTGGATCGTTGTTCTGTGCAGGACTAGTTGGATCTGGGCGCGTAAAAGGCTGAGGCTTGTTTGCACTCGATAAGAGGTCAGCTGAGGACCTTGGGACCTTTAGAGGTTTCCCACATGATAATTGGGACCCTTTTTTACACGAGGGAACCGCACATGAATCGTTAGGCGAGGAAGGCGTTTTTGGTGGTGGCGAGAATGTTTCTTTCGAAGACATTGGAGAGTTAGGAATTGAAGAGCAACCACTGGAGGCCTGAGCAGTATTAACTGGAAAGTCTTCAGCAGGAGAAGGAGAGGAGCATTCTTTAGCTGATGCATGTTCCTCTGTTGCTCTCGGAATTGATCCATTGGAGGACGACGCTTTAGGATTTAGGATAGCTTAAGCTTTTTCCTTGTACTACTGGACGTGTCTCGACGTAGGCAAGAGGAGTGGTCAGACTCTGTACGGACGTTATCGCGCCAATCATGATGCAGAAGCACATAACTGATTTCAATGCGACTTTCGGCAAACCAACACATTATGATTCTCCTTAGAAAATGGGCATGTTGGCTTGGGCGTTGTAGAGAGACTTGATTTTTCTCGCTGGGACCAATCAAGAACTGAAATAGGGGTCGGTCTAAAGCCGCCAGCGCTGCGATTATTAGAACAATGACTCCACATATGTCAGAGCATGTCTGTAGTGGATAGTTGCGGCATCTCCAGTCACACATATGGCCGAACCGAGACGTAGCCACGGGCTGGTGAGCCAAGAAGAGGTGCGTATCATCATACTTTCCAATACGAGGAATGTGGCTGATATAACTGTTGACCACATCGACAATATTTGATGGGGGTTTCCAGGCTAACGTGTCACAATAAAGGATTCGTTTGAATGGTCGAATCTCAACAACCACAAGAACCCAGTGATTGCCCGACTTATTCATGGTACCGATGAAGGTCTGACCATTTTCTTTACCAACATTAAGCGGCAAAACAAGCCGTTTCACCATGCCAAAATTGAAAATTTTCCTCTTTCTGGCCATCTCGTTTGTGATGTTGACTACCGCGTTCGGACACAACAGCAGCGTATCTTGCTGCATCGTGTTTAATTCACTTAACACCCATGTAACATGGTCATTCGCCAGCCACCCTCGCGTCCCAGACGCAGCAAGGCGTGAGAGCTCATCAGGAGTCAAACCTAAGAGTGAAAAAGACAACGTTCTTATAGCAAGCGTTTCTTCGCTGTTAAACAGTACCTCAAAATGTTCCTACAAGCTTTAAAATAACCTCTCCCGAATACGCTGACCCGAAAAAAGATATACCCTGTGAAAAGCCATATTGAACAAATATTTACCAAGAGCTTCGTATCAAAAATTTTTTACCATTGCTTTTTTTAACTTTAAAACTGAAGATGTATAGTAGAGCGAAAGAATCTACATTGTGAAGCGAAAGGGATGTTCCAAGAGTATCTGCTTTCAGAGACAAGGTTTTTTGTTTTGAAATCAAGATTATAGGGATTGTGGAAATCATTTGCTAGTTCGATTTGTTTTTTGTTCAATAGAAATATGTAAGACCAAAAGTTTTTCTTTTAATTAATAGATCTTATCAAAGAGTTTTTTTAATTGCGTTGTTATCCACTGGATGTAACTTGGCCTTTGAAATATAATATCCTCTTGGGTTAAGGTCACGTCATTTATTTTGTTAAGTCATAAATACTGTCATAAATGTAATTCTCCCACCCCATCTCTTCAGGGAGAATACGTTGACACCGTGAAGATACTACTTTCCCATACTAGAAGAAAGGATTAGACCTTTCGAGACCAGATCCTACTCCTGAAAGATAGACACTGATTATCTATTATTTGTTTATATTACCCAAATGGAATTTAATTTTAATCGGGAATATTCCAAACAGATAGAGGTAATTCAGGCGTAAGCTAGACGTACATATCCTAAATCGGGACCCTTTTTAATGGCAAAAGAGGGCACTTACCGAACGTTGGTAAAATGTCATCTCCGGGTTTATCCCAGATCATGGTCTGAAATGCATCGATTGTTGATGCCGATTTTTCAAGCCTTGTTTTGGGCTGACGAAATCCTTTCGCGAACCAGGCGACCTCCTGTTTAAAGGTGTCAGGGTTTTGCCTTCGGCGTATTTCGTTCACAGAAGGATTCATTTCCGTATGTGTATTTACAAAGCAAAAATATTACTCGAAAGCAATGGTGTATTGAACCGGATAATTTTATTCGCAAATTTCCCGCGAAAAGCTCAGACTAGGTACCAACCCCTTTCGAGTGTTTTGATTAGTTTCCAGTTCATTTTCGGCTTGGGTGACGCGCTGTCGCTAGTGGCTAGTCTGTTACTAAGGGAACAGCAACCACCCTAAACTCAGTTCTAAGAATTGCCGGATATTTTGCAATTATTATCAGAATCTACTTAACGTCAAAACATGTCAAGGAAGCCTTTATGATTGGTTTATAATATGATATCTCGCGGTCAATCATGCGCAAAACTAGTAAGCCTAATCCACAAAAGACTCCAATGTATTCAACACAGTTTTCGCCGTTCCGTCACGTTTACCTCTTTCGCGACCACCAACACAGTCAACATGGATATTCAAACCTTGTTAAACAACCTTCATGATGAAGTATCATGTTCTGTGTGTATGTGCAAGTACACCAATCCAAAACAGTTGCCGTGTTTGCATAGTTTTTGCCTTCATTGTCTGAATGGGATTCAACGAACGAGTGGTAGACGAGATAAAATTGCGTGCCCGGAGTGCAGACAAGAATTCAATGTCCCTGATAACGGAAACCTAGCAGCTTTGCCAACAAACTTTCGTATAAACAGTTTACTTGATGTATTAGCTATAAAGGAGTGCAGCACGACTGGAGTTAAGTGTGGAAATTGCGACGAGAGAACCAAACAGAGCCATTATTGTTTCCAATGTTGTGCTTTCTGGTGCGAAGAGTGCGTTGGTCTCCACAATAGGATGAAAGCCAATAAAGATCACTATGCCCTGGCATTAGAAGACTTTCAAGATCATGACTTTGAAAACATTTTAAAGCGGCCAGAATATTGTGCAATGCCGGGCCACGAAAAGAAAAAAATCAAGTTATTTTGCAAGATTTGTAAAGTTGCAATTTGTAACGCTTGTGCGTTCACCGATCATGATGGCCACGGAAAGATTCTTCTGGAACAAGCTGCAAATGAGCGGAAGTTAAAAGTTAAATCTGCAATTGAATCTCAGAAAAAAAGAGCTCAGACAAAGAGAAGCAAAATCACCAAACTTGACGAAAGCCTTAGTGAAGTTCAAGAACAGGCCGCTCGTGTGAAGAGAAACGTACAAGAGTATGCTGTCAACATTCATGCAGCCATTGAAGCAAAGAAACTGGAGATCTTTGATGATGTGGAACGAAGGACAAAAGCATCTCTTCAAAAAATTGAAAGGCAAAAGGAGGAGATTGAAGAACAAGCTATTCGATATGAATCAGAAATAGAACATGGTGAAACGCTTTTAAAGCGAAGCACAAACGCTCAACTCACGCAACCGAACGAGCTGATGGACAAAATATTAAAAGAAGAAAATTACCAAGAAGACAGTGATCGTGATGACGATTTTTTCCAAGAATTTTGTTTTGTGAAGAATCATAAGTTATTTGATCTAGTAAGGATTGAACAAATTGGCTCCCTGGAAGAAAGTCAGACAAGAGCGCAACAATCGAGTGCTGATGGGAAAGGAATCAGTGAGGCAATTGTTGGACTTGAAGCACAGCTTGTTGTCACAACAAGAAACGAGAAATGCCAACAGTGTTATGATAAAAATGACCGTGTCACACTGGAAAATAGTAATCGTCAAGGCGATAACTGCGCAGCTGAGGTTCAAGTCCAAGATAACAAAGACGGTACTTACAAGATCAAATACTTTGCCAAAGAAACAGGAACATGCAGTGCATCAGTGAAGGTAAATGGAGAACATATCCGTGGCAGTCCTTTTGAGGTTCAAGTCAAACCAAGACAGTTCGGACCTGCCTTATCTTTTGGAGAAGAAGTATTGAAATATCCTTGGGGGGTAGCAATAAATGAAGAAGATGAAATTGCTGTGAGTGACACTGGTAACCATAAGATTCACTTATTCAAGAGCGATGGAACTCATATTAAATCTTTTGGTGGAAAGGGTGCTCGACACGGTGAGTTTGACTTCCCCTCCGGAACAGCGTATCATGGTGACAATATTATTGTATCTGAACAGGTTAACCACAGAGTTCAAGTGCTAAGCAGACAGGGGGGATACCTTCGCCACTTTGGGGGACAAGGAAGTCTTGATCATCAATTTAACTTTCCTTTTGGTTTATCTATTAACATTAATGGCAACATCATTCTAGCTGATAGGAAGAACAAATTAATTAAGATCTTTTCCGCTGATGGACAGTTTTTACGTAAACTTGGCACAGAGGGCTCTTTCACTACACCCCATCACTGTATCCAACATGACAATTATCTTATAGTATCAGACAGTGATGATCATTCTGTAAAATGCTTTGATAGGAAGGGTAACTTCCTTTACAAATTTGGGAAAGAGGGTAATGCGCATGGGGAGTTTAACACGCCTTACTGTTTGTCCGTGGACAAGGCAGGACACCTGTTGGTTTGTGATACTAACAATCACAGGATTCAGGTGTTTGATCTGAGTGGGAAGTTTGTTGCTAAGTTTGGAACAAAAGGAAGCGGTATGGGAGAGTTTAATTCCCCGGTCTCAGCAGCAGTTCTTAGTGATGGTAAAATAGTTGTGTCTGACAACCGAAACAGTCGTATTCAGATTTTTGAGTAAAGCAGTAAAGTTTCAGCATCACCGTCAAAGAATGCAATATTTGGCCCTTTCTTTTAAATCTTTCCACATGAATGGTACTGTTTTACATGGGTATTTTTGTTGCTTCGCAACCCCTAATTTGTGTCGGGTGTTCTGTGCCTTATTGGGTGTGCTGTGTAATTAATAACGGAGGTTATTTTGAGATTGCATTTTCGTCGTCGTACCCTTTTTTTGAAAGTCCCTGTAATTAATGGGCCCAGAAACCTGTTGTTGTTAAGATTCAAGGTAAAGGTTTCAACAGTTTTGCAGATAATGTGTTAAAACTATCTGTTAACAAAAGAAAATGGGCTGGTTTCAGAAGTTTGTAAGCTAGGAACTGCACGTTTGTTCTTTGAAAAGACTTTAAATTGAATATTTGATTTCAGGCCCCAAAAAGCTACCAGAACTTTGAGAAACGGGCAACTAGCTCCCTTAGGAAACCGTCATTCCTTGAACCTCAATGTTTCGTGAGACAAAAAGCTAACTACTTCCCACGTGACCACAAATTACAGCATGACAAAAATCATCGGAAATCAAGTACAGAGATGTTACAAAATTGAACACCCATCTTCAAGGCAATTCATTTTTTTTTATCCCATACAATAGAAACTTCCGTTACCTGGCACAGTTCCGTTGTGCATGTTTGAAACTTCGTGATTTTTTTACAGAAAAAAAGAAGACCTAAAAGTTCTGATAGCTTCCCCATCAGAAACCTCTGTAAACATTCACTCCCATGTCCACAGGACATTATGCGAGGAGATAACTTAGTAATCAGCACTAAGCAAAATGATTGATTGCTTAGGTCCCAAAACTGACCAACATCAATTTCCTTTTCACAATTTCAATACATACAGGTAATCAAGAAAACAAGTTTTGAGAATTATTAAAACTATCACCAAAGGGAATATGCTTTAATCTTTCATCAAATTCTCTTTTTAGTTCTTTAAGGAAATCAGTCTGGACAACTCGTTTTAGATACTAGGGCTTAAAGGGTTAAGAGGGTCTATACATTGACCGGAGAATGTTCTGTGAGAAGGTGTTTACCTTGAATAATAGTCAGCGCTGAGCAAAAGGATTAAGAGTCTGTCTGGGTTGAAATAGCTACTCCCAAGAACAAATCAAAGAAAGACTGTCGTCAACTCGTGGGAACGTTGTTTAGAAAATAATCAAATGGTTATCGACTCTGGTTTCCCCAAGGTTATCTGTTAAGGTATATATTTATAGAAGAAAAAAAAAGAAAGAAGGAAGGAAGAAAGTAAGGTCCTGAGCAGGACTCAAACGCGGCACATATTCTCGTTGCGACTTTACCTAACCACTACACAACTGAGCTGAGTACGTCACTCTGGCGAATAGTGTTTGATTTAATGCCTTTTCCATGGAAAAGCCGCAGGCAAACGCCGTTTAAAGATGATCGAGCCGCATAAACGGAGCTATTGACAGTTTAAAAAACATACAGTGTAGCATTTCATGGCAATGAATGAATGAAAGAACATGCATTGTATGCTTTTACAGAGCCGATACACCTCGTCTGCGAAGTACGACGCAAAACATATGCTTTCTTATCTCGATTTCCACTGTTATTTTGAAGCTAATGTATCAGACAATTCCAGCTGCGCCCAGCCCCCCCCCCCTCCCCCGGGCTACTGCAGGGCATTTGCCCGCTTTGTCAGTCCCGGGGGTGGGGCATTTGCAAATCTTGCGCTGCCCGGGGGTCGGGCATTTGCCAATCCCAGGGCCAACCCCGAGCTTTTGACACGCACGCGGTTTCCTCTCACAATAAAACTACACACAGAGGATTTTACTGGAAAAACAAGCAGATGGGCTCGTTTTTCAAGGACGGGAAAAAAGGTTTTTAAAGGCATGCTCTCGGTTTTATGCATGCACTTCTTCATGGCTTATCAAGCCAGAATTACATAGCGAAACTCGGAAGCTATTAACGTGAATCAACGTTTTTCTGGTTATTGAATCAAGTTTCTCTTGTTACTAGAAATACGTTTTCGCAAAAATCTCGCGAAGCTGACGGGGTCAGCAGTGAGAATAAACAGTAAAAAGCCAAAGGGTAAAAAAACAACGACAGAAAAAAAAAAAGAAAAGGAAGTAGCCACGCCGGGGTTTGAACTCAGTTACACCCCAACTTCCTCCAACGAAAAAGTGCGGCCTCCGACCACTGGGGCCATGCGACCACTAATAATAATAACAATCTTTTAATAGGATGCTCCATCACAAGAGTGGTTTACATAGAGGTCCTAATTACGAGATGTATATTATATAATACAATTAAAATATAAAAAGGTTAAGCTAAAATCGATATATATGAAAAAAAAAAAAAAAAAAAAAAAAAAAAAAATATTAAAAAAAAAA